GGAAGTTTAAAGTCAGGGTGCCAGCATGGTTGGGTTCTGGTGTGGGGTCTCTCCAGGTTGTAGACTGCCATCTTCTCCTTGTATCCTCACATGGTAGAAAGAGGGCAAGTGAGAGGGTCCCTTTCAAAAGGGCACTAATCTTATCATGAGGGCTCCATCCTCATTACCTAAAAATCTTCCAAAAGCTCCACCCCCTAATGCCATCACATTGGGGGTTAAATTTCAACATATGAATTTTGGGAGGACACAAACATCCAATCTATAGCAGTGATGTATCTATTCCAAAGGTGATAAAAATTGTAATAAGTAAGATGAGGTACCTGATCAAAATTATCAGCAAAATCAATAATTTTAAAACAAGGGGAAAATAACATACAGTCCCTACTTTTTAATCAGTCTTTAGTCTCTCAGTTTAGTTCAGTAATGATTAATATCATCACCATCATGACCGTCATCATCCTGTAGGTTCCAGACTCGGTGCTAAATGCCAGAGTACAAATATAAAGAAGACAGGGCCTGGGTCCTTGAGGCGCTCAGCCTAGTTAACTGTAGGGTACATGTTGGTGCCCTAATTTTGATAGGTTTGTCATCTAGATTTCTTCTAGGGCTATAATTAGAACACACTGTCAATCTGGAATGAGAACCAACCAATATGAGCATCTAAAAATTACCTAAGATGCTATAACACTTGTGCTGGATATAGCAGGGTGACTGACTTTCTAACAATATTGAGCTTATTTGTAAATGAGCAGTGTTTCACATCTAAATTTATTTTAACACAAAGTGGGCTTAAAAAGTTACTGGATATGTTTGAGTACATGATATTTTGAGATAGATAATGAAAGGTTACTCTAGTCACACAAATTAAAGTCTATCTAATTGACCGAACTAAATTACTTAGAATTTCACATTCATCTGTCAGTTAAATATAAGATGAATTTCAAATAATTAAATGATGTCAATTAAGTTTAGTATACTACTAAAAGTTGAACTGTGAACGTCTTGAAACAAATAGCGAACAATGTAGACTTATACATAGGATGTATTCTATAATTACACTGAGGACTGCTAATGAGATAATTGGGGTGTAATTTTATCAATGCTTTTATTCTTCTCACTTCAAATTATTTTACCTTTAGTCTAGAATAAAATAGGTTTGTTATATCTTTGATTTTGCAACATACATTACTATAAAGTACGAAATCCAAACAGCTATTTAGAGGAAGCATTTGTGAAATGCATTTTTGGTGAATGTATTTTGACTTTGTAATCAAAATTAAAAATTAAAGCTCTAAACTGCAAAGAAGAGAAATGGACGAGGACTACTATTGTGCTAGAGTACAAAAAGTCCTTGTTCAGCTTCTTGCTAGAATAAATTCTTTACACAAGAGTAGCTCTTCATTTGCATTTTTTCAGTTCTGTTCATTTTCTGCTCAGTCAATAGCTTTTTATTGTATTTACTCTTGCCATAAGGTACTAATTACTTGCCAAAGGCTCTCAGTATTTTTTTAAAATGTAAAATGGTGCATATAAGCTTTGGAAAAGTGAAGCTACACAAAGAGCCTTTTTGGTTACCCATTAGGGTGCTCATTCAGTAACTCTTCCCTCATTATTTACTTTTGTGAACAACTCTTTTCCTCACCTAAGTTAATAAACTTAGTGAATGCTTCAGTGCATTCAAAGATTCAGAACATTCTTCTAGAAGCTATAAAGTAGGCAATGGGCAAATCAATGCTGATGTTTTGTAAAGAGGTGATTTCATTGCACAGGACTTAAAAGTCTTTTGAAAAGGGATCTACATTTTTGTGATTTGTAAAATATAGAAACTATAGCCATTATAGTTTGTTTCAGGTGTTTATAATGTACTCAAGGAAATGTCAACATAAGGTCAAAATATTCAGATGAAAAGTGAAAAATGTAGCCATTTACATTATGTCAAGCATTGGAATGTTTTGGAAAAATCTAGAAGAGTAAATTTTTGTGCAGAGAATTTGGCAACACTTACATACAAATAACAGTGTCTGGCAGAAAACATGTTTTATTTGGAGAGCTGGCTTACCAGTAGATAGCTATATGTTATAGAACTAATTTTGTAACATGATATTCATATGCAACTCATCCATTTAAAATATGAGAATATAAATAAAATAATATTAAATTCTCCATGAAGCAAGCTTTTTAAAGGTACTTGAACAAAACAACTTTGAAAATGTTACTGAACAACAAACTTTGCTCAAAGATGCAGCATTATGGTCAATCGATTTGATGCATGCTAGTTACAGAGTTTCTGAAAATGTAACCTTAAATTGAAACCCTGTTAGTGATAGCTTTTAAGTGATTAGTTACAGATATTTTATTCCCTGATTTAAAAACAGTCTTACTAAATACATTACTGAGGGAAATGTCCTTATAAGCATTTTTACAAATCACCATTTGTCCATTCTGTCAAAAAGAGTCATCCAGACTTGTCTTATGTTCTGTTGTGGTTTCTCAAGTCTATAGAATACTGTCTTAACTCCCTACCACCCATCTCCCAAATATCTACCTCTGAGATAGAGGAATCTGGATTCTCATGTAACTGGCTCAGCATGCAATTAGTTTATCCCCACTCCTGAAAAAATAGCTCAAACCATAGAGGGAGGCTATAGGTGAAGGTGAGTGGCAGACATGGAAAAGGAGATGTTTTATTTTAACACAAAGGGAATAATAAAGTCAACTAAGGTTGTCTTTTATCATAAAAGATACTATCTGTTTACTAGATTCGCATCTCATTTCCTAGGTCAGATTTTACTTTTCCTACCAATATATATTTACCTTTCTTAGAGTCATAGGACTGGAGGCAATATTATATACCAATAATTATGTCTCTAGTGGAAGTTGTGGGAGCATTTTAAGCAAGTGTTCATAAATAATTGCTGGCTGTGGGGAATAGAGAGACAAATAAACAGTAAAGGAAGAGGGATAATGTTGCAAGGTTCATTCACTGTGCAAACAGCCCAAGTAGGGTTCAAAGTCTCCAGTTCTTACCTCCCTTGTTTGAAATGAAACCTGCATGTGACATTTTGATATTTTGAGGTTTCTCCCCCTTCTTCTTTACATTGCTGAATTCCTATGCAGTCATCTGGAAGTCTCATAAGTAGGTGAAGTGGTTGTTCACTATGTCACTGTATGATTGATTTCATGTATGTCACTGTATGATTTTAAGAACATAGGAGAAACTCCTGTGCACACTACCTCACCCAGAGTCTTGCCAAATTCACTTTTGAAGAAATCTCAATGCGATAGTTAATGCTTCATTGTTTTTCCTCAAACCAAAAATTAAGTGCTAATGCAAATACTCCCAAGGAAGGTAGTTTGTTGACCTATTCCCAGTCACTTATACCTTAGTGGGAATGAGTTTGACAACAGTTTACATAAAAAATAATAAATGTAAAAATCACTTTCTGATTTTTTTCTGAAACTAATAAGTTTTCAGATAAATACTAAATTATTTGAACACATTTTAATTGAAGAATTATCTTTACTATCATAGCTAATATTTATTGAGTACCTGTTATATGATAGGCATTATTCTAAGATTTGGTGACCACAAACCTGTATGACATAGATATGATTATTATTCCCATTTTACAGATGAGAAAGTTGAGGCACACAGAGGTTAAATAACTTCATAAAACTCACATAGCTAGTATCTGAGCCAGGATTTGCGCTTATCAGTCTAGTTCTAAAAGCTGCCCTATAAACCACTCTCCTACTCAATTCTTGTCTCAAAGGTATGATGGCTGAAGCATGTGGGAGAAGGAAAACTCTGAAATTATTTAAAAATGTTATGATACCAACAACTATTACCATATGGATACAATTTTTTATACCAGTGCCTGATGGAGCTCTACTATGCTTACAATGATCTGAACATCAGCAAAATGGGATAATTAGACCCATATTAACATTGAGTACTTACTACTCAGTGGGTGATAAAATAATTTGCATCACTATCATCTTTATGATTGTTGCCATGATTGTCATCATTCTTTATTGAGAACTTATCAGATCCCAGGAACCATGTTTACTACTCTATGTAAGTGGTCTCATTTAAATTTCAAGCAGTCTTATGGGTGGTTATAATCATTTCCATTTTATAGATGAGAAAACTGAGGCTCAGAGATGCTAAGGTTATGGAATCAGAAATGAAAAAGCTAGAATTTTAGCTTGTCTGCCTTTAAAGTTTATTTTCTTAACCACTTCACTATGTCCAAAATTCTAATACTATTAATACTTCTTGCCTCACCACCACCAAATACCACTTATTGAGTGTCACCTATGGGCCAGGAAGCCTCTATCAGGCTAGTCCTATGTCACTATGTCAGTGGCTCATGGGCCAAATCCAACCAGCTGCCTGTTTTTATAAATTAATTTGTATTGACAGAGGCAATTTTACTCTGGTGTATGACTTGAGGGAAAGAATAAGGTAATAAAGTTAATTAGTTCTGGCATCCGTAACCGAAGCCATAAAAAAAAAAAAATAAAGGTGTATTGTGACACAACGTTGCTCATTCATTTACATATTGTCTATGGTTGCTTTTGTACTAAAAGGCAGAACTGAGTACTGGCAACAGAGATCTGATGACCTGCAAAGCCAAAATAATTAACTATCTGGCTCTTTACAGAAAAATTTCCTGACCCCCGCCTTAAATCATCTTGCAATGTATGTATTATTATTCCCATTTTAAGATGAACATATGAGAATTCAGATAAATTAGGTAATATGTCCTCCCAAACATTAAGGAATAAGAATCCAGTGAAAAGTGTAGGTCTAGAGGACTCCAAAACATTTTCCTTTTCTTCTCTTGAAACTTACAGCAACAACAACAATTTTTATAATTACCAGTTGCAAGAGATTTCCCTAACAACACATGGCTAACAATTTAGTTTTAAATGTTTGATGCTGGTATTAAAGACTTTAGACATTTACCCTTAGAAAAATATTAAATTTCTCTTACCTTCTGATAATTTACTGTACTTAATTCCTTGAGGGTGGATGCTTAAGGGCTTATCTGCCTTATTCTTAAAGTGAACTTTTATGATGTCTCCGACTTCAGCATATAAAGTAGGCCCAAGAAGTCCTGTGAAAACAAAGATTTAAACTATGTCTGTATTCAGGATCACCAAGGGCAGAGCTGCTAAGCAAGAAAAACAAACAGATGATACCAAGAGCGACTGTTACCATTCCTCCTGGTTCTGAGGCTGACCGGCTTATCTTCAATCTAGAAGGTTTCAGCAACTCATTAACTCAACATTACATGTACGCAGATGAAAACGGAATGGTAGAAACACTGGACCCAAAAGAAGTCAAGATAGTAGGAGAAATAGTTCTGACCATGTCCAGCCCACTTTGACCCACTGTCATTCCTTAGAGATAACTGTCTTTGCTTATGAAAGATGTTCATTTCAATTACAGAGGGTGATGTGAGAGAGTAGTTACTTTAGAACTCTCTTATGTGGGAGAGCTCAGAGACCTAGATAAATTGAGGAAGCAAATCACACAGCTCTCTAGCTCTGAGGCAGGAGTGGGCTTGATATATCTAAGGAAGAGTAAGAAAAATAGTATGGGAAGAAAGAAAAGGCCAGGCACGGTGGCTCACACCTGTAATCCCAGCACTTTGGGCCAATCACGAAGTCAAGAGATAGAGACCATCCTGACCAACATGGTGAAACCCCGTCCCTACTAAAAATACAAAAATTAGCTGGCCGTGGTGGCGTGCGCCTGTAGTCCCAGTTGCTCAGGAGGCTGTGGCAGGAGAATTGCTTGAACCCGGGAGGCAGAGGTTGCGGTGAGCCGAGATTGTGCCACTGCACTCTAGCCTGGCACCTGGCAACAGAGTAAAACTCTGTCTCAAAAAAAAAAAAAAAAAAAGCAAGCAAGAAAGAAGAGGAGGTGAATAGTGGGTGTGCAGAACAAGGTGGGCTATGGTAAGTACTTGAATTTTCTTCTAAGTAAAATGGGACATTGCTGGAGCATTTCCTTTTGTTGATGTTGTTGTTGTTGTTGTTGTTGTTTATTTTGTTTTGTTTTTGTTTTTGAGATGGAGTCTCTCTCTGTCTCCCAGGGTGGAGTCAGTGTTATGATCTCGGCTCACTGCAACCTCCGCCTCCCAGGTTCAAGCGATTCTCCTACCTCAGCCTCCCAAGTAGCTAGAATTACAGGCACACACCACCACACCCAGCTAATTTTTGTATTTTTAGTAGAGATGGGTTTTCACCATGTTGGCCAGGCTGATCTTGAACTCCTGACTTCAGGTGATCCTCCTGCCTCAGCCTCCCAAAGTGCTGGAATCCCACTTAGGCATGAGCCACCGCACCTCTTCTAAGTGAAACGGGACACCACTGGAGCATTTCTAAGTAAAATCGGAAATCACTTCGTGCAGCAGAGACAGAGCATGATGTGTCTTAAAAGTTCATCCTAGCTGCTGTGTAGAGAGTAGTCTGTATAGTGACAAGAATGGAAGCAGAGAGATTAGGCAGTATAGGAAAGAGACCACAGTGTACTGGGTCAGCACATGTAGCAGGGTGTGATTAGCAGTGATTGGATTCTGGACATTTTTGTAGGTAAAACAAACAAGACTTGCTGATGGATTGCATGTGGCTTGTGTGAGAGAGAAGTCAAGGATGACCTCAAGGTGTTTTACTGGAACAGCTGGGCAAATGATGTTATTAGTTACTCCAATGGAGAACACAGCAGGGACAGTAGGGTAGGGGGGTAGAAATTTCCACATGCCAGGAACTGTGTTAGAGTTTCTGGCTACATGGATCAAATACAGTCCCTGTCCTGAAGGAGCTCACAAGCTAGTTTGGAGATAGATGTATGATAGGGGCAACTGCTGAGATATGAGCAAAATACTACAGAAGCAGAGAAGATGAAGCACAAATTCTGTCTGGGGAGTTGGGTAAAAAGTTGATGGCTAAGTCAGAATTTGAGGAATTATATATAGTCAGCCCTCCATGACCATAGTTCACATTCATGCTTATACATCCATGGAGTCGACCAATTTTGGATCAAAAATATTAAAAAAGCAACAATAAAAAATAACAGTACAAACAATACAAATGAAACTATAACATAATAGCAATTTACATAGTATTTACATTGCATTAGGTATTATAAGTAATTTAGAAAGTATTTAAAGTATATGAGAGGATATGCATAGGTTATTGTAAATACTATGACATTCTATATAAGGGACTTGAGCATCTGCAAATTTTGGTGTCCATGAGTAGTCCTGGAACCAATCCCTGCAGATACCAAGAGATGATTGTACTAGAATTCCCAAAGTGTAGTCCTTGGAATCTCTGCATCATAATCACCTGGGGTCTTACTAAGAGGAAGATTCCCAAATATCACTTCAGCCTCAATGAACCTGAGCTCAGGAGGTGAAACTTGGGAATCTGGACTTTCACATGTGCTCCTTGGTGATCTAGATGTCTTTTAAAGCTTGAGAATCTATCACCAAGAGCCCCATTCCAGACAGGTGACAGAAATCAGCTGCTGTCATTTCTGAGCCATTCATAAGCATCATAGGATTGGCTTCTCTCCATTAGAAATCCTAGAAACAGGAGAAGGAAGTCACAGCACTTGTGGAATTCAGCCAACATTTGTTTGCAGTAGTGATGATAATTATAATAGAACTTTCATGTTCTGTTTCCCTTCATACATGCAAGCACTGTAAGTCCCTACATTAATCCTCACGTTTTTAAGGTAGATATTAAGATCCTCATTTTATAGATGAAGAAACTAAGCCTCAGAGAGTTTAAATATCTTGTCTAATATTATACAGCGTCATGGTTTCAGTTTAGTATGTCTGACTCTAGATAGTGACTTAAACCACTTCTTTATACTATACTTCCACCTTGTATTTATTCCTTGTTTCATTCCTTTATTTATTCAGTGAATATCGAGTGCCTGTATTATCCTAGGCTTCAGAATTGCAATGGTGCATAAGAGAGTAAAATAGATACACTCACTCCCTGCCTTCAGAGAGCCTATAAAAGTAGAACATTTTATAGTTCTATAACTTTGTAAGTTTTTATAGTAGGAAAGACAGATTTTTAAACAAATGATCACAGACACATTCCATTTAAACCTATGGTGAATATTATGAAAGAAGAGGATGGAATACTCTGAAGAGTATTTGACAGGAGAATCTAGTCCAATCTTGGAGGCGAGTTGAGAAATTCTTTCCTGAGGAATTAATGCTTTAACTGAAGTCCAAAGGCAGAGAGCAAAGGGATGGGCAAAGACATTCTAGAAAGTGGGAGTAGCATGTGCAAAGGTCCTGAGGTGCCAGAAAATGTGGCCTATTCAGAGAAGTGACAGATAGCCAGCGGGGAGGCAGAGCTTAGTATGTGAAAGGAAGGGGCAGAAGATGAAGCTGACGGTATCCTCAGAGGCCCATCATGCAGGGCTTTGTAAGCTTCTTAGACTTTTCCCTTTAGCCTAAGAGTATCTGTAAGCCATTAAAAGGTTTTCATCAAGGGTGTAACGTGGACCAGATTTTGGTTTTAAAATCTCTGGCTGCGTTTGTGGAGGATGATCTGGGAGGAAACTGAGTGGAGAACATTCGAGAGAACAGATAGAAGGCTCCAGGAGAGAGATGGTGGTAACTGAGACAAGATGAGATGATGAGGAAAGAATATATTAGCAATCTATTTAGGAGATTAAACAGTTGGAACTTGAGGATGGATTGGATGTGGGGTGGATAATGAGGGACATCAGTCACCATGGATGACTGATGACGTTATGGTTTGGGGAGCTGGGTGGAGGAGGGTACTATTCTCGGAGAGGGAGGACACCATGGGAGGGCTTTGTTTGGTGGATGTAGTGGGCAGAATGATGTGCTCCTGCTGAGATGTCCACATTCTAATCTCTGGGAGCTGGGAATATGCTACTGTATATGGCAAAAGGACTGTGTATCTATAATTAAGAATCTTGAGATGAGATTTTCCTCACTGTCCATGTGGATCCCATGTAATCACAAAGGTCCTCATCAGAGGGATGCAGGAGAATCTGAGTTAGGAAAAGCCTGGAAGAAGCAGCTCAGCTGGTTTTGAAGAGGGAGGAAGGGGCCATGAGCCCATGAGTGTAGGCAGCTTCCAGTAACTGAAAAAAGACAAGGAAACAATTCGCCCCCAGGGCATCCAAAAGGCATGCAGCTCTGCCAATACCTTGATTTTAGCCCAATAGAACCCATTTTGGACTTCTGATCTGCAGAAATATAATCCTAAGAGAATAAATTTGTGTTTTAGCCACTAAGTTTGTAGTAGCTGGTTAGAGCAGCAATGGTAAACTCTGATCCCTGGGACACAGGTCCTGCCTTTCCCTATCCCTATCCTGCCACCCACAGTGGTCCTATCTCTTTCTTTGAACGACTAGGCCCGGAGTTTATGCTGACCTTGTGCCTGAAGCTTTTTGTTTGTTTTTACGTTGGCTCTACACAGGACTGTGGGGGTCACAAAGTTCAGTCCTTACTTTAAAGACAGCTAACAAAGCCTGGGAAGCAGGAATGCGGGGGCAAAGATGACTTGCCCAAGGTCAGTCAGTGATCTGGTAGCATTCCCGGGGTCAGAACTGAGATCTCTGGACTCCTGAGCCAAAGCTCTCCCTGTTCCTTTCATGGGGCAGTTTCAGGCCCCCGTCTTTATAGAATAGTCCAGATGTCTACACCTCTTTCGACTCCTGACATGTCTGACTTCACTGTCTGACCCTACTCTTCTGGCTGCTGATGGAAGTTTTCATGGACTGTTGGAAACTCCGTCTTAGCTCCTGATGGAAATTTCTGTGAACTATTCCCACCTACCCCAGCTGCCAAGGAGCCCAACAGGGTGCTGACTATGCTGCCAATTGTGTGCCACATTTAGTTGCCATGGTTCTCTTGCTTGGTTGATTTGTTTGTTGGTATCACTTGGCTGCAAATACCAGATGTCCAGAGTAAGTCTCCTAAGTTATTTAACCCAGTAAGACCTCTTGCTTTACTGGACAGTTTGGAGTATTTATTCAACCTCCCCTCCTGCCTCTTCAGAATTAAGGCAAAACAAAAGGATGTTTTCATAAATGCATACTAAATACTTTCAGGCATGTAGGAAAACACATAGCTAAATGGTTTTCAAGCTGCTCTTTAGCTCCTCCATCAGCCAGATGGCCTAAGATCCTTCCCACCCTCTCCTCAGTGCCTAAAGCTAGATTGGGGAAAGGAGTGGCCTACTTCAGAGCCTGGGGAGGCCAGCACAGCATGTACCCAATTTAGTGCAGTTGTGGAACTGGAAAGGACTGCAGGAGGTCGGTTAATCCAATCCCCTGCTCTTAGGTGAACAATGCATTACATTAACACAAGGCAGTTATTACTGCAGCTATTTCAAAACTCCTTCAGGGACAAACATGTTATAATTTGTCCCTGAAAAATGTGGAGACTCAAAACAGCCAATTTAATTAATTAATTAATTAATTAGAGATGAGGACTTGCTTTGTCACCCAGGCTGGAGTGCAGTGGTGTGATCATAACTCACAACATCCTCAAACTCCTGGGCTCAAGTGATCCTCTTGTTTTAAGTGATCCTCTTGCCTAGCTGGGACTACAGGCATGCAACACCACGTGCAACTAATTTTTGTGTTTTTAGTAGAGACAGGGTTTCACCATGTTGGCTAGGCTGTCTGGAACTCCTGATCTCAAGTGATCCATCCTCCTTGGCCTCCCAAAGTGCGTGAGCCACCATGCCTGGTCTCAATACACAATTATTTAAAAGTAAAAGAATATTTAAATGCAGATTTGTTTTAAATTAAATAAATATATAAATGAACACGTGAAGAATATATAAATGAGTAGAGAAATATAGATAGACATCTATAATACAATGATATATATGATCTGAGGTATGATTGATAATAGCAGCAACAATAACAATGTAGCTAACATCTACTGAGTGTTTATTACATGTCAGCATTATAAATACTTTGTACTTGTTAACTCAATTGATCCTCATAACGTCTTTAGAAGGTAGGAATTAATTCAAGGTACTGGGAGCATATAGAAGAGGGAAGATTTAATTCTGCTGGTATTGAGGGGATGTCAGTGTAACTTCAGACAGAAAGTGGCTTCTGGGAAGGTAGTAGTGAAAGCCTTGGTTTTGGATGAAACTGGAACCCTGGGGAAGAATATCTGGTGGGAATACTGAGCAGGAATGGTAAGAGAAGTCTGAACAAACTCAGGGGAAGTGGCACCAGAAAAAACAGGTAAAAAGAGAGCTTCAGAAAGGGAGATGGTTAAATGTCCTAGTAACGTCTGGTAGTAAAAGAACACGGGCTCTGGCATCTCAAGTCATGAGTTCCCTTTCGTGAGCGTAATTTTAGTAGACTCATTCATACTAAAGCAGATTAGGGAAGGAACATAGGCAAAGAAATGTAGAGAATGATATACAGTCCTCATACAGAAGACCGGTCGTGAAGGAAAGGAGAGAAAAGGAAAAGGCAGGCAGGGTCAAGGAGAGATTTTTTTTTTTTCTTTTTCTGGATAGGCGTTAACCTGAACATGGTTTGGTTTGGTTTTGTTGTTGATTTTTAACTGAAAGACTCCCATTGAGTAAAGATGGAAGATTAAGGGAAATGAGAAGAGGCAGGACAGCCTGGGATGATTCTGGGAATGACGACAGGTCTACATTTGATGGGAGAAAGCAACAGGTGAATTATTGCCCAGGGGACTCAACTGGAGGACGTTCTCCCTTGATGGTCTCTGTCATCCCTGTATACTACAGTATCATAGTTAAGATATTAGAACACGATTCAACCCAGTCTTCTTGATAAAAGAAGAGAGGAGGAAAAAAGATTTTCTTTAAAAATCATAGCTGTTGGCTGGGCACGGTGGCTCACACCTGTAATTCCAGTTATTTGGGAGGTCGAGGTAGGTGGATCACAAGGTCAGGAGATTGAGATCATCCTGGCCTACATGGGGAAACACCATATCTACTAAAAATACAAAAATTAGCTGGGCATGGTGGCATGTGTCTGTAATCCTAGCTACTTGGGAGGCTGAGGGAGGAGAATAGCTTGAACCAAGGAGTCGGAAGTTGCAGTGAGCCAAGATCGCGCCACTGCACTCCAACCTGGTGACAGAGCGAGACTCCATCTCAAATAAATAAATAAAAAGTCATAGCTATTGTATATATCATACTAAATAAACAAGAGAACAGATGGGAAAGAGATGCAAAGGAATCAGTCCTACATAGTTCCTTTGAATGAATCTTGGGAGCCAAATGAAAGCAAAAATCATTCTGTTAAGGCACATCTGTGCTCATTAAACTAGACCATAATCTCCACGAATGCGGGATGTGAGACTGTCTTGTCCACTGTTGCAGCCACAGTACCTAACTCAATGTCCAGCCCATACCAAGTACTCAGTAATAGTTTTTAGATGAATTGATAAAAATTCAAACACTTAAATGTTTTATTTAGCTATTTTAATCAAGGTTAAAAACAGAACCAGCTTCATGGGTATGTGACCTGGGCAGTTTCACAAGGCCCATGCTCAGAAGGGCCCCTGGCTTGGTTTAATGCATTACAGTCACTACTTTGAAATTTTCAATACCGTAATACGAACAAGAGGACCCACATTTTCGTTTTGCACTGGGCCCCACATGTTAATGTAGCCAGTACTTGTTTAAAAAAAACCCATGATACATTTCTATAAAATTTCGGTAAATGGATATTTTAGATGCATATGAATGCCAAATTACCTGTAGAAATTCATCTTTAAAATTTTAAAAAGTATATTTCAGGCTTACCTGAAATGCTAGATCGTGGTTTTTCTTTCTTAAAATATGGTTCATACTCTCTGTAGACAATTTTCTTGAAGGAAGTTGCAGAATGATTCAAACTGGAAATAAAATACAAAAACTAATTTGAAAGGCATATTCAACATCCATTTCTCACATTACAAAAAAAGTAGTTCTCTCATATCCTCAGACCTCTAGTAGAATACTAGTATCTTTATTGTATTTCAGAAGCCCACAGTTTTATAAATATGATTGATAAAGTTAATGAAATAATTATTGGTCTCTTCAAAAATATCCTGTTGTGATACTTATTTGTTCACAAGTTAATCTACCCTAGTATCATTTCTCAGAATCAATTTTCTAAAAAGAGAACTCAAATCATAGTGTAAACCCAAGCTTTAGGTTTAGATTTTACATGATTAAAATATGACCAAATCCTTTATGAATAAATATATGAGCTGTTTTTCAATGATCAATCAAATATAGTTTTAATCTACTGGGAAACATCATAAAAAAAGTACTGATTTGATGGAACTGATTTCTAGTTGAGAGGTGAGAGATGGCTAATTGGGTAAAAGCCCTGGAATTCATACTGGAAACAAACAAATGAAAAAACTGTTTTGGACAGGGTAAGTAACTTGTCCAAGAGATACAGTTGATAAATGGCAAACCAAGATTTCAAAATGTGAAACAGCTGCATGTATCATTAAACAACAACAGCAAATAGAGGACAGACAGCAGAGAGAGTTGTGAGTGGTGGGATACTTCCCTGTTGCTGTTATTGTTCTGTGCCTCTAAAGGCACATCATTCTTATCCTTGTCTCAAACTCAAAGCTGAGGTTAAAGGAAAGAGAATTTGGAGAAAATAACCTAACAAATGTCTAAGTCAGTTTATCAGACTGGCTTTGTTTTGCTTCCTAATGTGGGGACAGTGGCCCAGCCACAATCAAGACATAATATCATCCACATATGCCATGCCGTGATAGCACAGTGGCGATGATGCAGGCCCTGAATTCAGTGTCTGGATTGGAATCCTAGATCTACCTCTTACTGTTTTACCTTGAAAAGTTGACTTAATCCATTTGTGCCTCAGTTTCTACAACTATAAGATGGGATTAATACTGAAATCTTCCTCACAGGATTGTTGTGTAATATTAAATAAGTTGATACGTGCAAAAGGCATAAGAAGTGACACACTAGAAACACTCAATGCATGTTAGCCGGTAACATTATTTTGTAAATGTAATAAGAGTTAGTCTTTAGCTTTCAGGTTTTCACAGAAAGCAAAAACAAATCTGTAATTATAGTAATGCTCATAAATATTAATATGTGGAATACAGGAACTGTGTTGATATGTGGGGACAGAATTAAAGGAGGCATATAAGTACTTTTAGAATGGCTGGATATAGAAGGTAGTGGATTCTCCATCACTGGCAGCATTCAAATAGGAATTAGACAACTACTTGATAAGATCATTGGTGCTGAGGGCAAGGAGAAAAGTAGAAGTAGAAACATGGAAGTTAAAACATGCAAGTAGAAAATGAATTAAATGACCTCTTAGAATTCCTATAACTCAAGAATTCTAGGATTCTATATACTAATGTCCCTAATGTGGAAGTCCACTTTTATTTATTTATTTTTAGTACAATTGCAAAGTTATTGTCCTTCCCTGCCTCAGATCTTTAAATACAGAAATGTAGATGTTAGTATAAAATCTTTACTGAAAAATATCAGTCTCTAATGTGGAGTAATTTCAACAGAGAGATGTTTTCTAACATGTTTTACTGTGTATGCTGTGTATTCATACTGAGGTATGTCTATTTTGATCTGAACAATTTTTATTGGAAAATAATCTGATCAAAAAGTTACAGATGATATGATTTCAAACAATGTATTTGATGAGTTTTCAATTTATAAGGACTGTTTAAAGATGATTTGTTCATAATCACAAAATTATATAAAGGTAGAACTCTAGAAGGAAAATGTATGTATATCTTTTCTTTAATATGCCTTTGTATATACATGTGAGTGACTAAACAAATTTTCTTAAGGAATTTTTGAAAGTGTTCACCTTAGACTTGGAGCAAGAATAATAGATACGTTTTACCTTTAAAAGGCATTGTCCTGCTAATATTATATGAAATAAGTAGACAGATTTCTGCTTTGTGCTAAAATTCACTTTGGCAAAAGATGGAGTTGTCTATGTTGATATTTGTCTAGTAAGCATCATAGCTCTAGGGGCAGGACAAGTTAGAACAAGTTCTTAATTTAAGCAGCCAGATACACCGATTAGATGTTTCGTAAGAAAATACTAGAGAGAAATAATATGATTTGGGGTTAAACAATATTGATAATTTGTCTAGGTTACCTTTCTATGGTTTTGACTCAACAATTGCTACTAGAGGAATGATTCTCCAGAACTTTGAAAACTTACCCACAGAGTGAGGGGACAGAATGACCAGTTGTGGTTCCCTGTGTACTTACCATGTGAATCAGACCTTTGCCCTATGTGGTACTGCTTCCAGCATTTTGCCTGCTATTTTCAATGCTAACTACAGACAAAAGAAAAACTCCCAAGCATAAACACAGCATGGTACAAGAAAGCCAGAAACCAAGTTTGCATTCCACTCATAAGCAGGCAAGATTAGTCTTAGAAGCACTGTTATTTCCTTTGGGGTTTTAGCTTATGGCAGTTGCCTAAGGGTGTGAGTGTGACCTAGATTATTACTTTAAGGTATAATATTTAAGATGATTATTTTTGAAAAGGAGGGAGCTCTTATCATTATAAGACCAAAATGGTGCGTAACACATTCCAAAATAACCCAATTACAATGAAAGTTTTAAAAGGGTTAAATTATACACTAAAAGATCTCAAAATATTGCATTACTTTTTGGAGATTGGTTTTGTAATTGTAAAAGAGGAACACATCTTTCATAATAAACTGTGATGTAAGGAAAAAAAGTGAGTCAGTCACACTAGCTGGTTTACTATTTTAAAAAAAATGACTAACTGGAAATATTGAATAGACTCTGATTTTGTTAATTTCGGAGAAGTCTGATTTATAACATTCAATTAGAAAAAATGGTTTGCAACTCAAGGATAGAATTTTATATGAATTAAACCTCCTCTTAGTTACATACACCTTTAAACAGCTAGGGTAAACCATACCCCAGGATATGATTAACAGAGAGAAAAAATGAAGAGTCACTTTCAATAGGATAATTAAGTCAAATATGAAGCAGAAAAAAGGTGAAAGTACAAAAATGTTGTATTTCCATGAACTGATGATATTTAGAGATAGAGTCTTCCTCTGTTGCCCAGTCTGGAGTGCAGTGCGCCATCTTGGCTCACTGCAACCTCCTCCTCCCAGGTTCAAGCGATTCTCCTGCCTCAGTTTCCTGAGTAGCTGGGACTGTAGGTGTGAGCTAATTTCTTTTTGTATTTTTAGTAGAGATGGGGCTTCGCCATGTTGGTCAGGCTAGTTTTGAACTCCTGACCTCAGACGATCTGCCCGCCTCGGCCTCCCAAAATGCTGAGATTATAGGCATGAACCACTGCACCTGGCCAAACGAATGATATTTTGTAAATCATTTATGAGGCAGCAACAAAATTATATGACAAAAGGCACAAGGTGTTCATTTTTAGTTTTAGAAGATGAAGTTATGTAGACAATGGAATAAATAATATGTAACTAGGAGTCTCATAAAAATACTGTACAACTAAAAACCTGGAACAGGAGTTTGCAGGAAGGGCTAATGAGGGAGCAAGTACCTGGAGCCTTTGAATTAACCAACACATTAACCCAACACAAACATAGAAACAAAGCTGTATTGAAAATAAACTCTGGAAAAGAAAGCAACATCTAACCAATCAAATTTAATGTTTTCTATACCCTCAGAATGATAAACTCTATTACTGGAGGCAAAATTAGCATCCACCCAGTTTATTTAATTCGGTACTCTCCTGTTAGTTATACTTACTTACTTGAAGTTAAAAAATGAATAAATAAATAAATAAAATAAATAAAAAATAAATAAATAAAGCATGACATTGCAAAGGGAATGTTCTCTCAAAGAAATAGAGTATCCTCTCTAGAGAAGCCCACCCAGACTCCACACCTGAGTTACCTTGCATTTGTGGGCTCAGGTCGGTAGCTCCAACTGATGCCCTGAGCAGCCACGTAGAACTGCCTTAGGTGTGCTGCTTCTGTCCCTTGGCTTCCCCAGCCTACCCAGCTGGTGCCCAAGACCACCAGGACCCAGACTCGTGGACAGCCTGGGAACATGCTTCCTTTCCTGCTCCCGCTGGCTGCCACCACCCCAGGGCCTGGGCAGCGCTTGCCGAGCTGCTGACTAACCCCACTCCGGGCTGTCCCAGCTGCAATGAGCTCTGGAGGCTGTGGGTGGCAGCGTCCTCCTCCCCTGCGTTTCCTCCAAACTGCAGCGGCAGCCTCTGGCTCTTTCTCCCTCCCCTTTTTCTGCGGCTTTTCTGGGCAGGGGCTTGGTGAGATCACTGCTCTCGGTGACCAGAGGTATTACAGAGAGCAACCAAACTAGTGACTGTTTTACTACAGGTGAAGAAGGGGCAGAGATCAGTAGCTCTAGCAGGTGGGACAATGCCCAGGGATTCATGAGCCAGGCAAAGCTGTATTCCTCCAGTTCCACCCGCCAGGAACAGTCGCCCCTACCACTCACCTGAAGCCTGCTTGGGTCCACGCTCACACTTGCAGAACCGTCTGTGCAGTGGTTCCCAACCACCTTAAGCAGATGGCTCCCCTTTTGATCTGAGGGAAAGGGTATTGTGCGCTGTTACCAGCACTGAAACACTATTTTCAGGTGGTGAAGAAGCAGGGAACAAACACATGAGCAAGGCCTACTGCTCCGAATTGCTTTCCTGGCTTCTACCAAGGCACAGTTCTGCCTTGATAAGAGCCTGTCACCAGCTAAGCCACAGCATAGCAGAGGGCTTAAAGAGCTTGGCTGAAAAAAAGTTGGTTGTCCAGATTTCAGTTTCACTTACTAGCTGTGTTGTTCTGAGCAAGTTACTCTACCTCTCTGTTCAGTTTTGACATCTGTGAAATAAGGATGACAATAAGAGTTTTTCCTGATAAGGTATGTTGGGAGGATAAAATGCTACTGTAAACTATGGTTCCAGCACTTAGAAAGCATACAGCAGCCGGATGCAGCGGCTCACACCAGCACTTTGGGAGGTGGAGGCAGGTGGATCACCTGAGGTCAGGAGTTCGACATCAGCCTGGCCAACATGGTGAAATTCCATCTCTACTAAAAACAAAAAAAAAGCAGCTGGGCGTAGTGGCAGATGCCTCTAATCCCAGCTACTCGAGAGACTGAGGCAAGAGAATTGCTTAAACCCAGAAGGCGGTGGTTGCAATGAGCTGATATCACATTATTTCACTACAGCCTGGGTGACAAGGGTGAAACTCAATCTCAAAAAATAAAAATAAAAAAAAAATAGGAAGAAGAAAAAGAAAAGAAAGAAAGCACATAGCACAAATTTATCACTATGATCATATTTTCCTGTCTCCAGGACCCCTTGTATTTTGTATTTCTTGAAGGATCTGGCTGTTTCCTATCACCTTAAATCTTGCTTTGCTGTTCATAGAGAATCTGAGATTTATATTATCTGAAGCATCATAATGACTTGCCCTGGGTTCCCTGTATCTGCATGGCTCCAAGTTTCTGTCTTATGCTTTCCGCATTCAGTACATTCAATAAATTGTCATCTGGCATCTCACATGAGGTCTCTGTTCATGGTATCAGGCGCATAAACAGCCTCTTCCTCCCTCTCCACTCGCCACAATATTCTGTCTTTGCTCCTGTGCTGGTATTATTCTACCAACTTAGAAGGCTCATTTTCTTCCTCTTTACTGGGCCATTCTTTACAGTCCAGAGTTCTGCCTATCTCCCAGATTCTGGGCACAAATGGACTTTTCCATCTTAGGAACTATTACAACACTATGCAAATTATATAATCATGTTAATTACCTTTGATTATTCCTTGTAGTTCTCTATTATCTCCCTAATTGAACAGCTGCTTAAACTTCTTTATCTGTAATATTATCAGTGGCTCCCAAAGTTGGTAGAACATCAGAAAAAAAAGTCCCTGGGGAACTTTTACAAAATGCAGATTCTGATTCAGAAAACAGGGTTGAGACCAAAGTCCTAGAATACCCAGCCTAGTGATTGACATATAAATAAGCACTGCTATTGGCAGTGTATCAGAGAAACTTTTTGAAAGCACTTTGCCCCTAAATCCTAAGGCTACTACCAAAATTGTTGCAACATTATTGTAACCTTTGATTAGGCTGCTTTTTTATTTGCACGTTTGCTTATGTATAGACAGTCTACATGACATATTTATTGCATTACACTTCACAGAGACAAGATGAGTACTATAATTTTTGGTTCTCTATTTTTTTTACATCAGTTCCAAGTAAACACTGTATAACTTTCAAAGACCTATTTACGAAACATGTGATTTAAAGAACATGTAAAACACATTTGTTCTTCCCTATAAAATATTAAAGTGATGAAAATTTTTTCTGTTTTTCTAATTTTCTCTTGGAGTGGAGGGTGTGTGATACATATTTGCTGACTGACTGAAGGGTGGAGGTATAAATGGAACAACCATAATTATGTGCTATGACGCTGATGGTAAACAATGTGATATATACAGACCTTACTGAACAAACGGTCAAATGGAGGGACATGGCATTTGGGGAAAATTCTTTTAATTATACATTTGAATATTGGTCTTTGAGTCCTTTGTGGGACAGTGACTGGTAGCAGGAAGGTCCACAGTGACATGTGACTTCCTGGCTTGATTCTTGGCCTTCTGCAGCCTCTGGTCCATCCAGAGGCCTCTGGAAGGCTCAGCAGCAGAGGTCCAAAAGGCCTCATCAGCAGAACCACTGGAGACTCCAGAAGATGCCACAGGAATTCCTTCCAGTTAGAGATGCCACCTGCTTTCCAACAAAGTAGAGAAAGCCTTCCTTCAATCCAAAAATAAAGAGGTATTTTTATTTCTCCACAGTCTGGTCTTCTTGTGAGTCAGATGCTCCAATCTCTTTGGTTCGCTGGTATTTCAAGTGACAACTGAGTCAAAGCACAGAGACGACTGCAGAAACATTTGCTCCTGGCTTCTGCGGCTTGTATTACAGGAAGAGGAGAGGTGGGGCAGGAAGGGGTGGTAGGTCGAGAGTTTGAGATTGTACCACAGTCCCAAACTCAGGAAACAGGGTTGGTCCAGAGCTGATTCAACAGGCTGGTCCAGAGCTAATCTAAGGCAATTCCATGTTTTTGATTCACAGGTGTTTATGAAAAACTACAGCAAATGAATTATAGTTAAGTCAAGTCTAGCAGGAAACTTGAAGTTCACAACACGATCATATGGAGGCTGAATGAGGTGACCAGGAGAAGGACAGGTCTCTGAAAATGAGACCAAAGAAATCTAAATAATTATCATTTCCTTAAAAAAATAAAAGAAAAAAATTGCTCATCATATCTACCCCCTGAGGTTCAGCATAGTCTTTTCTTTCTAGACTTTAAATATTCTGCCAACCGAAATAAAGATGTTCTTTTAAACCAATGAGAATGAAAAACAATGTACCAAAATCTCTGGGACACATTTAAAATAGTATGTAGAGGGTAATTTATAACACTAAATGCCCACAAAGAAAACAGGAAAAATCTAAAATCGACAGCCTAACATCACAATTAAATGAACTAGAGAAAAGAGAGTAAATAATTCAAAATCTAGCAGAAAAAAGAAATAACTAGATCAGAGCAGAACTGAAGGAGAGAGAGACATGAAAATCCCTTCAAAAAATCAATGACTCGAGGAGCTGCTTTTTTGAAAAGATAAGAAAAAAATACTACTAGCCAGACTAATAAAGAAGAAAAAAGAGAAGAATCAAATAGATGCAATAAAAAATGATAAACGGGATAGCACCAACAATCCCACAGAAATATAAACTACCAGCGAATACCAGAAACATGTCTATGCAAGTAAACTAGAAAATCTAGAAGAAATGAACAAATTCCTGGACACATACGCCCTCTCAAGACTAAATCAGGAAGAAGTGGAATGCCTAAATAGACCAATATCAAGTTCTGAAATTGAGGCAGTAATTAATAGCCTACCAACCAAAAAAAGCCCAGGACCAGAAGGATTCACAGCCAAATTCTACCAGAGGTACAAAGAGGAGCTGGTCCCATTCCTTCTGAAACGATTTCAAACAATAGAAAAAGAGAGAATCCTCCCTAACTCATTTTATGATGCCAGCATCATCCTGATACCAAAACCTGGCAGAGACACAACCAAAACAGAAAACTTCAGGCCAATATCACTGATGAACGTCAGTGTGAAAATCCTCAATAAAATATTGGGGAACCAAATTCAGTAGCACATCAAAAAGCTTATCCACCATGTTCGAGTTGGCTTCACCCCTGGGATGCAAGGCTGGTTCACCATACACCAACCAATAAATGTAATTTATCATATAAACAGAAGCAATGGCAAAAACCACGTGATTATCTTAATAGATGCAGAGAAGGCCTTCAACAAAATTCAACAGTCCTTGCTAAAAACTCTCAATAAGCTAGGTATTGATGGAATGTATCTCAAAATAATAAGAGTGTTTTATGACAAATCCACAGCCAATATCATACTGTATGGGCAAAAACTGGAAGCATTCCCATTGCAAACCAGCACAAAACAAGGATGACCTCTCTCACCACTCCCATTCAACATATTATTGGAAGTTCTGGCCAGGGCAATCAGGCAAGAGAAAAAAAATAAAGGATATTCAATTAAGAAAAGAGAAAGTCGAATTGTTTCTGTTTGCAGATGACATGATTGTGTATTTAGAAGACCCCATCGTCTCAGACCCAAATCTTCTTAAGCTGATAAGCAACTTCAGCAAAGTCTCAGGATAAAAAAATCAATCTGAAAAAATCATAAGCATTCCTATACATCAATAACAGACAACAGAGAGCCAGATCATGAGTGAACTCCCATTCACAATTGCTACAAAGAGAATAAAATACCTAGGAATATAACTTACGAGGGAAATGAAGGACCTCTTCAAGGAGAGCTACTAGTCACTACTCAAGGAAATAAGAGAGGACACAAACAAATGGAAAAAAACATTACATGCTTATGTATAGGAAGAATCAATATTGTGAAAATGACCATACTGCCCAAAGTAATTTATAGATTCAATGCTATTGCTATCAAGCTACCATCGACTTTCATCACAGAATTGGAAAAAAAACACTTTAGATTTCATATAGAACCAAAAAAGAGCCCACATAGCCAAGACAATCCTAAGCAAAAAGAACAAAGCTGGAGGTATCACACTACCTGACTTCAAACTATACTACAAGGCTACAGTAACCAAAACAGCATGGTACTGATATCAAAACAGATACAGACCAATGGAACAGGACAGAGGCCTCAGAAATAACATCATACATCTACAACCATCTGATCTTTGACAA